ACTGCACTCCAGTCTGGGCAACAGAGTGAGACTCCAACTCAAAAAAAAAAAAAAGAAATCTACAGGCGATGGCTCCCACACGTGCGCCTCCAGCCCAGAGCACCTTCTGAACCCCACTACATACCCAGCTGTCCACTGGGCTTTACTCAGAGCCTGTGGCAGAAAACACTGCTGCCTCCAGTAGACATTTTCCCTTCTTCCTTAGCAAAAGAATCAGCAGCACCTCACAACCTGGGATAGACGCATTTCCCAGCCTTCTTTACAGTTAGGGCTGACCTTGTTGAAACTGCCTATATAAAATTAATATAGGGCCACAGATCATTAATACAGGGCCATGGGGTAAAAGCTCTAGAAGAGACCTGAACTCTGCAAAGGTGTAGCCATGGTTAAAAATGAACAACTCTGTTGTTTCTAAGTTTGCTTTCTTCCATACATGACTGATTGCACAGACACTTCAATAGATAACAATTGACTGTCTTCATGTCTTGATTCCTGGGGGAGGGGAAGCTGCCTATAAGACCTTTCCACGCATTTTCCCTTAAACAATGAACTTTGATGGCACCTTAAAGCTTAGCTTGGATCACTAGGGATTCCCCCTTCAGCATCCATTATTCACCAGATGTGTAACTTCCCCAATTGCTCCTATAGATAACATAAACCTAAGACTGGTGTTTGAGATGTTTTCAGGTTCCACATATTGGCAGACTTTTTGATACCAACCAGACCAGTGACCCGTGAACCGCACCCAGAAACTGATTTGGTGCAGAAAGATGATCTTAACATCTCTGTGATTCAATTCCCCAACCAAGCAGCAATCCCTAGCTCCCTAGTCTCTGAGTTCTCAGGAGGTAGATTTAAGAAATATCTTCAGTCCTCCTTGCTCAGTTGCTCAGCTGCTTTGTGATATTAAACTTAATAAATTCTTTCTCTGCTGTAATAGCTGTGTCAGTCTCAGTTTTTCTGGGCAACTGGCATAAGAATCTAGACAGGCTGTAACACTGTGACTAAGTGTTGTTTGGTGAAATGTAAGTAGAAGTCTCCTTAGAGTGTTCTTTCCCACTTATATATTCCTGATAGCCGGAATATATAAGTAATGGTTGGCCCACTGTTTTCCAAAGGATTTAGTCTACATGCAAGAGATAAAATTCTATTTTGCTTAAGATGCTGTTATTAGTGGTTTTCTGCTACGTTCAAACACACCTAACAGAAACAGATGTCTAATGGACATTGCACACTTAACATGTTCAACATTGTACTTGTGATTTCTATTTCTCTACCCACCTGCTCCTCCTACTATCTTCCTAATCTCTGTGAATGCAATTTCACTCTTTGCTCCTTTCTTTCTTTCTTGCACCACACCTAATCCTTTAACCAATTCTGCCGGCTCTACTTTCAAAACAGATCCAGAATCCAATCCTGTCTCAGCACCCCCATTGCCAGCACTGTGGTCCCAGCCAGCATCATCTCTCACCCCAACCACCGCAGCAGCTTCCCTGGCAATTTCTTTCCTTCCCCCTCTCTAGAGTCTACCTTCAACATGTTAGGAGTCCTACTAAATCTAAGTCAGATCCTGTCACTCTTCTGCCCCAAAATTGCAGTTTCCCATCTCAGTCACAGAAAAAGCCGAAGTCTTCTCCAGTGTCTGCCAGGACCTCGATCTTCCACCTCTGAGGCCTCAGCCTGCCCCTTCCCCTCACTCCGCTCCAGCCATAGGTTCTTCACTCTTCTGTGAGCAGGTCAGGCATGGTCGTGCCTCAAGGCCTTTGCCTTTGCCCTTGCAGCCCTCCCTGCCCAGTTATCCTTTTCCCAGATAATGGCATGGCTCTCTCCCGCACCTCCTCTGGGTCTTTGTCCCATTGTCCCCTCTCAGTCCCCTGACTACCCTCCCCAAGCCCAGCATTTTCCACCCCTCTACCCAGTCTTACTGTCCTCCTTACTTAGCATGCCTCACTCCCAATGCCACATCCTATGTGGATGGGGTTATCTGGCTCTCGTCATCTTCCCACACTAGAACAGAAATTCCCTGCGGGCAGCTCTTAGGACAGAGTGTAACTACGGCTATAAGTAGATTTGTGTGTGGAAGAGAGCGGGGAACACAAGGAGGGACAGGGCAGGCACCAGCTTCTCCTGGATTTGCTGTTTCTGAGCCAGGCGGATCTGCTCCAGCTGCTCCTGAGTCATGCCCTTCCAGCGGTCCGGGACCACACGGTGGGGCCCAAAGGAGCTGGCTGCCTGCTGCGGGTTCTCAGAGAGCAGGTCTCCATGCAGCAGGTTGGAGATCTCTGCCAGGTTGTCTTCTTGTTCTTGCTTTTTCTCTTGCTTTTTCCTTTCTGCTAACTCAACGGCCTAAACAAAGAAGATATTAAGGAAGACAATCCTCCAAGTAACTCCAGGGAGATTCTGAGACTCAGGCCAGCCACTCTCATTGGGGGCTTTTGGGGGAAGAATGTGCTAAAGACATCAGGATAGGAGGTAGACTTGTTGGATGTGGGAGGCTCTCGGACCCCTAGGTGCCTGAATACTGCTGGGTGGGTGGGCTGGGCTGAGGGAATCCCTACCCGCTAAATGTGGGCATAAGAGCTCTGGGTCTTTGCAGCAATTTGCCAAAGCAGGGAGCTGCCTTCCTGAGGGAGGCTATCACCTTCATTGGGCTGGCCTCATTCCAGGGAAGGGCTCTGTGCCCCTCCTGTGGTGCTGGCAACCCTTGGACATCTCTGTGCTGTGAAGAACACTCAACCGAGTGATTCACAGCAGTGGTGACTTTCAAAAGGTGGAAAATGCACTGTCATCTCTGTGGTTCTGATGGCTTCAACCACAGTCAGCCCCCGGTACCCATACATTCCAGGTTAAATGGCTGCTCAGTTCCCTGAAGGGGCCTGGCTGTGTGACCTGCAGCAAGTCATCTCCCTTCTCTGGGTTGCAATCAATTCTCTATAAATTCAGGGGATGGCTTGGGAGACAGCTACCATTGTTAATAGTTCTCCTTAGTACAAATAGAGCAGTTTGCAGGTTCTGACACACCACAGATGCTCATGAGGGGCCAGCTTGATTGGGTCACACAGCTGGTCAAGCCCGAATTCAAACAATGGACTTGCCACTGAGTGCTTGGGTGTCCCTAAAAAAGTCAGTCCACCTTTCTGAGCCTGTTTATCAGTTGAATTGGGTTTACCATGACCTCCCTAGGTTACTTGGCTAGCTCTACAGTTTTCACTCCCAGATTTGGAGTTAAGGACCGAGACTGGATCTTGTCCATCTTTGTAATCAGGCAGCCCCTCAGGGACCCATCAGGGCTGGTGGTATGACTGAGGGAGCAGGCTGAGATTGGGATTCTGGGGAGGCTGGGAAGCTCTGGGAAGCTGCAGTATGCTTGTCCTTCCCTCCAGACACCAAGCCTTGGGTACATATACCTGGTTCTTGTTGAACTCTTTCACAGTTGCACAAACTGCCTTTTTGGTTGTGCTTTCCAGTTTCTGAAGGTGCCTGGCTGTTTCGTCAAACTGCAGCCTCGTCTCTGTGTGACGGGCCTCTGAAAGAAGGCAAGATGCAGTCAGACCGATCTACCCACATGCCTTTACCTCTTGCCATGAGGACAAGGAGAGGAATGGTAATGAAAGGACTTGCCCCTGAAGGCTGTGGGAGAGCTGGAAGAGTAAACTCAAGTAAAGCTCCTGGATAGGTGCCTGGCAATCAGCTGGCGCCAGCTGCTGTGGTCGTGGGACAGGCTGGTGGTGTGCCTCTTGCTATCCCTGCTCTTTCAGGATGCAGCTACACACAGGCAGGCAAGGGATGGGGGAGCCCAGAAAAGTGAGTATAGAAATCAGAAAAGACTCTATGGAGGAAGGGGAGCCAGGTAACAGATATTCTGGGGTAGCAGTAGGACTTTGCCAGGCCAAGGAAGAGGAAGGAAAGGAGAAGGAGGAGGAAGAGGAGGAGGAGGAGGAGGAAGAGGAGGAGAAGGAGGAGGAGGAGGAGGAGGAGGAGTCGTCCTTATCAAAGTAGAGGATCCACACAACAACATGTAAGGATTTGGAGTCACATGGAGCATGCTCACATCGCAACCCAGGCATTTCCTTGCTCTTGTTAACCTTAACTCTTTCTTAGACTCTCTGAACCTCATGTCCTTACCTGTGAGGCAGGACAAACCTACTCTGCAGGGTTGTTACATTTTAAAGAAAGTTACTGACCAGAGGTTACTCTTTAGACTTGAATTTCTGGCCTTTGAGGACCATCAGCCTCACTTTTCATCCATAATTGGCTCATTCATTCATGTAGCATAGAGTCATCGAGAGCCTAGCATGCGCCACCACTTTGCTGGGAACATAGTCTATAATTAGATGAGTAAGACAGAAAGGGCTTTTCCTGCCTTGCTGTCTAGGAGATGAGATAACAATAAACACTAAACACATGAACCCCCAAATCAATGTATTAATACCAACTGTTATAGTGTCGTAGAGGAAAGTAATGGGAGACTGAAGGAGAAGGTGTGGAGGGGAGGAGTAAGGGATCACTTCCCAGGAGGAAATGACATTTAAGAGAACACCTGCAGGACAAACGAGGTTGGTTGGGAGCAGGAGCGAAGGTTCTGAGGTGGAAAAGGATTCAGCAGGATCCAGAAACAAAAGAGCCAAAATGGTCGGAACACAGTGAGTGGGGTGTGGCTTGAGCTGTACTGGAGGGGTAGGCAGAGGCCCAGCTGTAGAACCTTGTGGGCTATGGAAGGATTCCGGATTTCATTCTATGTGCCATAGGAAACCACTAGAGGGTATTAAGCTGGGATAGAAGGGGAGGAGGTGACAGTTCAACTTCATATTGTTTAAAAGTGTCATTCTGACTGCTACACTGGGAAGGGACGAAAGGAAGAAAGGCAAGAAAGGAAGTGGAGATGATCAGAGAGTTATTGGCAGTGATTTTTCCAGGACTTGTACTGCCTTTGACATGTGTATTAGACATCCAAGGGCAGTTAAATGGGTTTATGAGTCTGGACTCAGGAAGATGCCAGACTGGAGATAGAAAATTGAGAAAGAATGGCCTATAGGTGGTACTTAAAGCCATGAGACTAGATGAGACCACCCTGGGGGACAGTTAGCTGATAGAGGAGAGACCCAGAGAGCAACAATATCTAGAGGATCAGAAGATGAGGAGAAACCATAAAAGGACATAGGCAGAGAGAACTGGCACGAGAGTGGTGTTCTGGAAGGTAAATCGCATGAGTGTTTCAAGGAGGGGGTAGTGATCAACTGTGTCTCATGCTACTGATAGGTCAAGATGAAAACTGAAAACTGACCTTGGATCAGGCGACATGGAAGTCACTGTGAGGTTGGCCAGGGCAGTTCCTGTGGGAGGTGAGAGAAGGCCAGAAGTCTAGTAGGAGCGGGTTCAGAGGGAATGGGAGAAGATGATTTGGGGAGACATCACTCATGGAGAGTAAACTGAGAAAAGAAAAGGTTGGGAGGAGGATGAGATGACCAAGGAGACTGCAAACTGACAGTCAGAGGGGAGGGCTCCAGAGGGCAGAGCGCATCACTCTAGATTCCAGCTCCCTGTTTGGTCTTCACCATAGTTCTTCATCATTTTGTCACCTGCTAATATGCCCCGTGAGAGCAGGGATATTGACATCTTCATTGCCATGTTTTTCTGGAAAGGAAGTGGCTGGGAGGATCAAATGCTGCTGAGAGTGCACACACGAAGAGAAACTGGTAGAGCAGAATGCTGATAGCCTTAGTCACAGCAGGATTTATTGTAGTTCCCTCATGGAGAGAATGTTTCATGCCTCAGAGGTGTGCCCAAAAGGTTCCCTGGGCCTGAGGAGTCCCAATGAAGATGTGTGGCCCTCACTTCACCTGTAGGCACTTCTATCACTGCACCCATGAGACATGGCAGGGACCTATGCATTTTCCATTGTCTTATCAGCAGACTGTGAATGCGCTGAGGGCAGAGACTGAGTTACCTCTGCATGCCAATACCCAATTGGGACCCTGACTGAGAAACATGCTCAAAAAGCTTCCTGAGCGACTGAGGCATGACTGGAGATATTTCACTCCTGGGATACAGGCTCTGACTTCTCTTTCCCCTCAGGGCCAAAGCAGCATGTGGTTGTGCACATTAGTAAGAACTTTGAAAAACCCCGCAAAAACTGAGGGGGTTGGTTTGTTGAAGAGAGCATTGAGACCAATTTTCTATTCTGTTTGCTTACCTGCACATTTTTGGTCAGCTTGGGCATTCTTCCATTCCCTCTGCTGTTGCAGGGACCATTCTCTGTTTTGTTCCTCTTGGAATTTCTTTCTCTCATGGAAGTTTAGATCCTCTCCCATGAATTTCTGCATTCCTGATATCGTATTCCGAATATCATTATCTGACTGCCGGGCTGGAAGATCTTTCTTAAGGGCTAGAGGGTCAGATAGATCAAATTCACGACGAGTTTCTGGCTTCTGAAAGCACTGTTGGAAATCACTGTTAGCCCTACAGAGATTTTTCTTGTCTTTCCTTTCCCGGTTTTCTAATATGCACATCATTTTGTCATTTTGCCTCATTTCAGCAGCTGAAAGAGAGATAGCATATCTATAAGTTTAAGATTCAGAGGAAAAAAAAAATTGAATCCACTTAGAAAACTAATTTGTAGTGATTGTAAAAGTAAATAAAACTCTCCAAAAAAGTAAAACAACCATTAAAGGATTAGTTTCCTGAATATACAAGAGTACCTAAAAATTGATTTAAAAAAATCCAAAAAGTCAACCGAAAAATGGGCAAAGTTTAGGAGCAGGCAAATCACTATTAAAAAACCTGAGTGACTGATAAACTTGTGAGAGGATGATCAACCTTATAAGATGGAAAACATCCAATGAATTGGAGGCAAAATATTTAAAATGCTAGTAATAACACATATTAGTAAGGACGTGCAGAAACAAGATTTATCATTTACTGTTTGTAGGTGTATAACTTGGTACACTCACAACAAAGCAATTTGATAATACTCATAAAATTGAAAACATGCCTACCTAGGAATCATCAATTCCACTTGTGGGTTTCTGTCTCATAGGTGTGCTAGAGACATAATGCATGGACAACCATCACAGCAGTGTTGCAGTGACAAAAAAACTAGGAAAAAAAAAATCTAAACTAGCCATCAATAGGAGAATAGATAAAGAAACTGGTTAATTCATATACTAAAATGCCATAAAACAGTTAAAACAAATACTCTCTATATGCGTTCTATATGACTAATAAAAAAATACAACATGGAATTAAAGAAAAACATGTTGCAAATGGACCTATTCAAGAGGATACCATTTTTGTAAGTTTTAAAAACACATGAAAACTACTTTATATTGTAATAAATACACATATAAATAGCATACATATAAAAAGTACATGAGAATGATAAACACTTCTGAGAAGTGGAAAATTATGAGGTGAAGAAGAAATTTAGATAAATATATATAAATATATAAAATGATTCTCGAAAAGTCCTCTTAAAATAAGATATATGATGCCAATTTGACAAAATTTTACCATCTAGTCTGTTGGGGTACATATGTGTCTGCTGCATTGTTTTTGTAAGTTTGAATTACTTTATAACTAAAAATAAAAAATG